GAACTACAGTAAAGAGATAAATTTACTGCTGTCAAAACTGATGTGTAATAATGTGGAAGAAACAATTTGTAGGCTGTGACATGGTGATGAAGATCTGTGGAGAAAGGAAAAGCATCACAGGGAGTACAGTGATAAGATGGCTAACGGTGGTCAGAAAAGATTTCAATGAGAGTGATACGTTTAGGTAAAAACCTGAAGGGGTTGAGGGGGGAGCTTTGTTGCTGTCTGAGAGGGAAGAAATGGGAACCTTAGGGGAAATGTTCAGTACAAAAGCCTTATGATGTGGGATTCCCAGTTTCAGGATGTAGGACATTGTGAACTATTTTTCTCTTACGGATTGGGAGTGAGGAAAAAACTGACATGATCTGCTACTTTAATCACTGGTTCTCTTTTGAGGATAACCACAGGAGCAAAGAGAATATTCCTGACACATCTCCAAAACTGAGGTGATGTTGGTTTGGCCTAGGATAGTAGTAAATGAGGTGGTGAGGAATGATCAGAGCCTGGATATATTTTGAATGTGGCACCTGTCAAGGTTGTTTAAAGACTAGGTTTGTGGTATGTGAAGAGTTAAGGATGATTTGGAACCCATTGGGGCTGAATGACTGGAGGCTATGTGGCCACTGATGTGAGAAGGGACAAATCTGGGAGATGGGGAATCTTTTTAATTTACATTTTTATTATCTTTAGTTGTACAAAGGAGTTACTATTCAACAAATCAGTTTGAGAACAACGAATCTTGATTGATATCATATCTTTCATCATTCTTTCCCATCCCTCCCAACCTAATCCCTCCCCTCACTTTCCTTGATTTCATAGGGAATGGATTGAACATTGTATGTAGCTGCACTTTCTTCCTCCTCCTCCTTCTCTTCATTCTTCTACTTCCCATCTCCCTGACCTCTCTCCCACCTTTCACGTGCCAGTTTCCTGGTATTCATTTTGTTGGACTGTTGAGTTTTCCTAAAGAATTACATTATTTGAATTATGCACTGCAAATGCCTTACTTTAGTTAATACATTTGTGTATCGTTGCAGACAATCTATCCATGCATGTTTAGTTGTACATGTATAAATTGAGTTTAGCTTCCACATATGAGAGAAAGCATGTGTCCTTTGTCTTCCTGGGCCTGACTTAACTTCACTGAACATATTTTTCCCCTCAGGTCCATCCATTTCTTTACAAATAATGTATTTGGAATCTTGACACTACTTTTCAGAATGTTGAGGCATGACACGCTCAAAGGACTTTGTAGGCACCTGAGTTTATGAGAGAATCCCTCACAAATGAAGTCTGGACTGGAAGTGTATAATCGAGAAAACATTCAGTAATATGATAGGATGAGCTCTCCAGGCTAGGGAGGGTATATGCAAGGAATCCATGTACATCCATGAGAATAAAGAGCTATAAGGAAGAGAGATTGAGAAAGGGGAGGCCAGAGAAGAAAGGGGAGAACTAGAAGAGAATGTATTCTAGAAGCTAAATAAAAGCAGTTCTTCAAAACAGGGGGTGGAGAAAGAACCTGGGTCAGATGCAATTGACAGGAAACAATAGTCAGCATCTTGACCATTGGCTTAAGCAACAGTGGCTACCAGTGTCTTTACAGTAGCCTGATGGAATGGGTTTAAGAAGGAACAAGAGTGAACTAGGTGCCAGTGGCTTATGTCATTGTAATCCTAACTGCTCAGGATGCTGAAATCTGAAGATAGAGAGGTTCAAAACCAGCCCAAGCAGGAAAGTCTATGAGATTCTTCAATTAACTACAAAAAGGAAAGCCAGAAATGGAGCTGTGGTTCAGGTGGTAGAACACTAGCTTTGAGCACAAAAGTTCAAAGACATTGCCTAATCTCTGAATTCAAGCCCCAATACCAGCACCAATAGAAAAAAGAAGGAAAAAGATTCAAATGATACGAAATACAGACATCCGATATAGTCAGTCTTCTCAAGTATTTACTTAGAAGAGGAATGAAGAATTAGAGTAATTGAGTAATTACTAGATTAGTATCTTAGTCCATTTTTTTGTTTTTATCACAGACTCTTGAAGATTGGGCACTGTATAAAGAGCAGAGATTTGTTGTCCTTACAGTTCTATAGTCTAGGAGGTCCACAGTTGAGAGGCAGAATCTGATGAGACCCTCTCTTGCTGCATCATCCCTTGGCAAAGGGGCAGAGGGTAGAAGGACAGAGGGACAGAGGGGCAGAGAGTGTAGGTGGAAGGGAAGGGAAGCCGGTGGAACTCACTATTTTATAAGTGATTTACTCCCATGATACTGGCTTTACTCCTGTTGAGAAGACACTTCTTAAGACCCCGTTAACTGGGCCACATCTCAGCACTGTTGCAATTGGGGATTGAGTCTTTAATACATGAACTTAGGCATCCAGGTTTTTGTTGTTGTTGTTAGGGATGGAATGTATGATGGGCACTTTTTGGTGAGAGTAATCTAGTAATGTAGACAAACAAAGAAGTGGTTCAGAGGACTCTAGCTGAAACTGTTCTTGGAAAGGATGAGGTGCTTGCAAACCATGCACAAGTGGCAGGTTGCTCCTAAGTCAGTTGACACAAAAGCACAAGAGGATGATGTCTGGGGGTTGTGGGAAAATCCCTGCATATTGGAGTGAGGCTTGGGTACTGGATGACCAACAGTGGGGTTTTACAAGTGGCTTTACAACACTCTGTGCTTGTGGAACAAAGGGCTCACCAAAAACACGTTGTACCTGTAGCTTTGCCCCCACCTCAACCACCACAGCTGACAGTTACATAGTTTCTAACTTTAAAATTGAACATGTCATTATTTTAATGAGTATCTAGCTTACATTTAAATTGATAGTAGTGAATGAATACTGAATCCTTCTATATAATCTCATGTAAACCTCATACCAACTCAGTTCCAAGGAAACGAAAACTAATGAAGAACCTGGATCAAGGTGACATGCGACTGAGATTGTTGCTTTCTTCTACAAGCCTTAATCATATGCTGTATTGCTTTGTGGATGTAGTTGGGTCTATAAAATGTATAAACTTGGGATGCAGTAAAATTAACATTGGACATAATTTAGTTTCCTTAGGTGATTATAATCTGAGATAAAAATGCTTTTTTTTAAATAGCTTTTGATAGTTACCCACCCTGCCCATGTTTCCTACTAAAACTCAAAAGAGTTAGTCTTTTACTGAAATTATTGAAGTGATGCTAAAAAGAAGCACTAGTTGGGTGGCTGTAGATAGGTGATAGCTTTGAATTGTAGGTCAGATTTTAGGTTAGAAATCAGAAATGAGTTGTTCTATCTCCTGTGAAGTGGCTAGGTACACAAGATACAGAGTCAAAATGACCAGAACTGAAACTTTGTGTGAGAGACCTTCTAGGGTCATGTTCTCATTTAAAAAATAATTTTGGCAATACTACCAAACTGTTCTGGTTCTTGTGAGTAGTAGATATGATATTATTCTTAAGTACAAATCTGTCTAGGAGTCTAGGATATAGAGCTTCTGTATGGTAAACACAAGGCTCTGGGTATTTCCTAGAGGGGGGGGGTTAAAGGAGCCTCAGTATATTCTTCCTGAGAGTATTATTCTCCAGGCATCAGCATATTGTCTCAATTGTTCTTGTGTGAATTCTCTTCAGAGGACATAGGAAACCTATACATTCAAAATGAGCACTGATCCCCCCTTGGACTCTTGAAACCATAAAAGGATAGTTGGAGAAAGTTATGAGAGATTATTTTGGTGCAGTCAGAAGCTTAGGGTAGTGTGCCTTAAGTAGTGTGGTGTGGGAGTCAATGGGTAACAGCATAGGCAAAGCAAGGGTTCTGTGGTTACCTATAAATTAAATTAATTCATATTAAAGAAATCCAGGCGACATACCATGTATAAAATCTTGTATTGGATAATACTGAGAGCACCAGGTTGAATGGGGAGAGCCTTGTCCTCAAGGTAATTTGGAGAAGACTTTGTCCATGCACAAGGAAGGTTTCCATTCATCCCGTACTGTGTAAACTTTCCTCTTTGATATTTGTGTTCATTCTCTAAATTTCTACATTAAATTTTTGGTCTTGGATTTTCCTTCCCAGACTTTATTTGTCCATCCTTGTCCTCTTTGTTTCCTTCTCCAAAACCCTGTCTCTTCTCTTTCCCAAGGGCATTTGCAGTTTAGTAAACACAGTGCTCACATTTGGCCTGAGGCAGGGGGGGGAGTGGGGGGGGAGGGGGGAGGGAAATGTCCCAACAGTGAGATTGTTTAACTTGACTACTATGTTGTAAAGTTCCAAATGCACATTCACATTTAAATGATATACTGTGCAAAATGACACTACCATTTCTACTGGTATCTGAATGTTATAGATTGTTACCTTTTTCATATTCTCATAACTTTATATATTCTTTATATATATATAACTTTTCATATTCTCATAGCCAGAGCATGGCATAATATAGCAGAATGAATGTGTGGACTTTGGAGAATAGTTTAGATTTTCATTTGTGCTTTACAGTTGTTTGAGTTTGGATGCAGACCTTCCCTGAGTCTGTTTCCTCACTTGTGATGTACGATTGTTAGGGTTGCAATGACTGAAAATGTACATATAAATTATGATGCTATAAATTACAGGTTAGGCATTATTGCTTATAGCTAAAGCAATGTAAAGCCCCTACTGTGATCTATATAAATTCTGGGATTTCTGCAGGGAAAAAAGTGAAGACAATAAAATTTATGTAATAAAACTTTGCTAAAAGTTTGTAGCAGGTATCACTTGTGTCAATACTAAGTTATTTGGGAATATATTTTGAGTTTAAACAAGCCAGGTATAGTTTATGGAAAAAGTATATTCACATTTTCAAACACATAAGTGAATGTTCACAATGCATTCTGTGACATGATTCAGTAATGTATTTGTTAGCAAACTGAGGTATGGTCTTGTGAGGTAGGCATTTTATGCTTAAGTTCTGTATCTTCTGTTATCTTGTTGCACAGGGTTCTATAAATTCTGTTGTTGTTTTAATCCCGCAGATTTGCCAATAAAAGGACAGAAAGAATATGAGCTGGTGACTCCATTCAGCACAAATGTAGAAGGACATTATGTTTCCCATATTCTTTCTGCAAATCATAAAAAGAGGTCAACGAGGGATGTGTCTTCCAACTCTGAGCAGTTGTTCTTTAACATCACAGCATTTGGAAAAGATTTTCATCTGCGACTAAAGCCTAACACTCAATTAATTGCTCCTGGGGCTGTAGTAGAATGGCACGAGACATCTCCAGTGCCTGGGAATATAACTGGCCACTTACATGATGATCAGCCTGGAAATGCTGCAGAAACAATCTGGAGAACAGAGCCCTTGCAGACCAACTGTGCTTATGTTGGTGACATTGTGGACATTCCAGGAACTTCTGTTGCCATTAGCAACTGTGATGGTCTGGTAAGACTCATTTCTCATTGTGTGTGTGTGTGTGTGTGTGTGTGTGTGTTCAGGTATGTGTTCAGGTGTGTGTTCAAGTATAGGGTATCTTTAGCATGATTTGGAAGGTAGAGGTGTAAAGGAAACTTCATTGTTATATTTTCAGTTGGGAAAAAAGTACTGAAAACCTTTTTTTTGCTGTCAAAAATGTGTGCTTTGGCTTAACTTGAGACATGAAAACAAGATTATTCCAAGAAACAAGAGACAACTATTTTAGCATTTTTATGTTTTCCCTTGTGTTCTATTGGGGGAATTTTTATTTCCTTATTTCTTTTAAAGTTTGCTAAAAACTTTCTAAAGAAACATAGATCCCTCCAAAAGGTCTCTACTTTATTTCTTATGTGGAAAATTTTGGATATCTCCTTAAAGAAAGTATTTTGAAAGCATTCTTTAGCTTTCTTGGAATGCCAGAGTGGGAAATAAGCAGATCCTTGGCCAGAATTTGACCAAGTAGCATTATTTTATGAACATGAGATGTACTTTTTTCCCTGTGTGGTGGCTTTGTTATTTTTTCCTTAAAATACCAATATATTGCTTTTCAGTTTTTTACTTGAGGCTTATAGTAGCCAACCCTTCTTTATGTACTCTGCAGATGTGAAATATTTTTGTTTTGTGTGTTTAGATGTTGCTTGAACATTGTCAGTGTTTCTGCCTCTTCCATTCATAGCTGACTTCAAGTCTGTTCAAAAAGAGTAACCAGTTACTCTTTTGTGGTCGTCAGGTTGCTGTTTCTTGGGTGTTCAGAGCTATTATTTTTGTTTTGTCACTGCTTCTGTAAGTTCTCAAAATATCATTTATATTTCTTATTGTAATTATTGTATTTTATCTGGTACTTTGCTTATAACTTTAATATTCTTCCTTTGTTCCTGTAAACATACTGTTAGAAAGATAAGCCCAGCCCAATGGAGTTTGCTGTATGTGTAACCAAAGGCTGGTTAGTTCATTATACTTTTAACTTTTTGCTGTCAAGTCTCCTTATTCTACAGAAAAAGTTGAATAGATATATGTTAACTAAAGTCATTAAAGAAACAAAGGAAATGCTGTCTAGAAGAGCAGACTAAAGAAATGTAGATTGAAATATTATGGAGAGAGCTTTGATTGAATTTTAAGATATAAAATTAATGGAATGATAAAATGGCACTATTCTATAACACTTAAGTAAAATATCTTGAGTACAGTCTTAAACATTACTTTTAATTTTTGTGGTATCAAAAATTATATACTGTTTTAGTTAAGTTGAAATGGGATATTGATTTGAAAAATTATAGTTCAGGTAAGAGAAAAGGGCAAAAATGATTTTGATGGTGTATCACAGTTATTTTCCTATGTAACTTTTTCCATATAGTAATCAGTGTTTTTCTTTCTGCATATATCAGATTATCTAACTATAGTACAGAAATCTATGGCAATAACTAATCATAAGGAAAACAAAGTATGAGTAAAATGTGAATGAGCATTATTTTCTCATTTTTAAAACATCATAACTAATTGTGTGTATCAGCATAATGTAATGCTGTTCGTATATAAAATTCGTATACTTCAAGTACTCACAGTTCAATTAATTAAAGATATTTTTTAGGAAGCCAGTTTTGGGCTTACTATTCCAGGCAACTTGAAAAAATTTGAAAAAAAATCATGATCACATCCTTTTGGAGTTCAAAGATTTTTTTTTTTTGCCAAAGAAATGTCTAAAGTATCTGAAAAAGCATTTCTTTCATATATAAAGTATTTATGTAAGTAAATATTTGCATACTTCATATATGCATATGAGTTGTTTACCTTAAGTTGTAAAGGGAAGTATATTCTGGAGAGATTTTGTGAATGAGATGGCTTCTAAGCAGAAAATACATGTTGAATCTTGGCCTAGACCTTGAACATGACCCCAGAAAAGAGCCTCATCTCTGTATCTCTCTTCATCTGGCAGTTCTGACTGTGCTCAAATGAATACTTTTTTTTTTTTTTTGGGTCCGGTCATGGGGCCTGAACTCTGGGCCTGGGCACTGTCCCTCAGCTCTTCAGCTCAAGGCTAGCGCTCTACCACTTGAGTCACAGCACCACTTCTGGGTTTTTTCTTTTTTGCTTATATGGTGCTGAGGAATCGAACCCAGGGTCTCAGGCATGCAAGGTAAGCGCTCTACCACTGAGCCAACTTCCCAGCCCAAATGAATACATTTTTAAAGAGTGTATACTTCCCAGCAGTTGTGTGCCAGGAACAAGAAAGCAAGAAAGGAAAAAAGATTGGACTTCATGCAGCAGTGGTTGTTTCATTCAGCTGAAGGTCAATTCTTCAAACTGTATAACTGCATTGGTCAGGATAAGCCCTCAGAGATAATGTAGGAAGTTCAACTGATGAGGATTTGAACAAATTCAGCTGATAAGTGGATGCCTGTACTCTTTGTGTCTTTCATCTCACTGTATATGAATTTATATTTGAACTTCTTGACCTTAGGGAGGGAAGCTAACAGATGCTTTAGGACCAACTTTCTGGGATATAAGGCCACTGCTGTAGAGGATTATGGGATTCTAATCAAATCTAAGTTGTCCTTTGTAGAAAGTCTGGCTCTTTTCTCTAGAAATACCAATGGGAAATTGCAGGTAAGCGTACAATTAAGCCTCCTGATATGGAAGAGAATACTGTTTAGCTCTGTGAGGGTAGAAGATTTAATCCCATGATTAGGTTAATTTTAGAAGATTGCAAGGAAGAGCTTACTGATAAGATTTTATTCAGGTAAGGATTTTACTCAGCTAATCTTTGAAGCTTTTGCACATAGGATCCATCATTCTCTTAACTGTGATTGAAAGACTCATAGCTAAGCATTTCCATGAATGAAAATCCTTAACCTTTTTCTCTTTGTCAGATGCCATGTGAATTTAGAAGAATGCACACAGGAGGCAGAATTAATTTGTAGTAACCAGACTGCAGTTAATTTAATTCATAATAAACCACAGTGCTGCTCAAAAAGTGTGTGTTATTAGGTGTCTGCCTATGTAAATACAGTGAAACAAAGGTGAACCTTTTGTAGTAATTTGACAGCTGTTGCATGTCTTTTGGGTCTAATAATAAGTTTAAAAATTAGGCTGGTATTTTGTGGGGGTTTTGCATTATTTGTCTAGCAATAGGTTTTGTTGTATTTTATGACAATATTGATCTGAAGCTGGAGAGTAAAGAAATTGTTTTTCTCCTTTGGCTAGATAGCAAACAGTGTTACTTAGCTGATTTTGCCCACTCTGGACATGGGAAGAAAATATGGCTGAAACCATCAGATTCAGCCTGTTATTCCAGATGGCTATGAAACAATTAAAGGAAAAGCCCTAAATATGGACTCCATTTAAGAGGTCACATCTTGAGTGACGTAGGCAGAGTCAAGGTATGGAATGTGATCTTTGCATAAACAGGCCTCACACCTGAAGTGTCTGAAATCCACAGAATTAACGGAGGTTCTTCTGAGCATGACCCAGTACACTATTTGCTCCTATCTAACATTGACTCTTTTTTTGGCTTTGCCAGGATTGATAGGAAGGATTAATAATTCAGCACAAATTACAGCTGTATTCTTTCTCTAGACCATCCTACTTATTAGGACGAATCATTGACTTGTTCACTTAACCCAGTTTCTCCGTGCTTTCTGACAGCATTCAAACTAGAGCAGAGTTCTGCTTCCCGAGGTCATTTTTTTCCCTCAAATGATCCGATCACCCAAGCATGAATTTTCTTAAGCATTCTTTCCAACAGTTTCTTACTAACATCATTGACCTAGCCATTGACCCTGTTAACCTCTCTGCTTCTCATCTCTGAAATAAAAGCCCGGTGGTGCGGTGTCATGGTAGGGAAGGTAATTTCACATTTTCAGCGGTGAAGAACACAGTGATGGTTGAGTACCCCAGCTGAAAATTTTATATTTCTTCTACAGAGGCTTGCCCTTTGATTTGTAACACCATTCAATCACTCCTGTGAGTAGTTTACAGCTCACCGTCTTATTTTGTGGTCTATAAATTTACCAAAATACAGGGTTGTTGGGATTCTAGGCTTTAGGTCTTAAATTTTATAATAAAAAGAAGTTGAATTTTTCTTGGCCTACTAAAACACCATTGCCTTATTAATGTCCCTGGATGGCCATGAGTGGACACTGGTTGGGAGTAGAACACCAACTGGTTAATTGTTCTCCTGGGTTATGCCAGGTCAGAGATTTCCTTGTTGGGTTTTCAGAATGAGAATTTATCTAGACCTTAGGTTTTCAACATTTGTAATTCTTCATTTAAATGAAATGACTAGGGCTTATCCAATGAAGTAATATGTAAAATGGAAAAATATGGGGAAAGTCTGGTTAAAACAGAAGGGAGAAATTCTCTTCCTCCTGCTTCTCCATCCTCCTTTCCTTTCCTCGCTCAGACCATTGTTTGGCTACCCAAGGCTTTTAGCAGGAAGGAATCTTTTCTAGTAGGACAGGGTCCTTGGAAGTTAGGGTTAACAATTTAGTAGTCATAATTTAATCTCTTTTCTACAATATGTGATAGTTACATCTGGTTAATATCAGAGGCATTTTATCTTTGTTAGACTTACTGACTTTTACCTAAAATAATCCTGCTTTTTTTTTTCTTAAAACTTGTGCTTTGAGATTTGGTCCATTCCAAAATAGTGTTCTTGCTATACCTTTCTCAGTAAATCTAACTTCAGAAGCTTTGTTTCAACAAGTATCGCCAAGTACATGTGACTGAGGACATTTGACTCGTGACTGTGGTAGATTCAGTTCAATCTGATAAATGAAATGGTTAGTATGAAAACTAGGTGTAAACTTGTAGTCATTTGTAGTGTATTTAGAGAAGAAGGACTTTAAAGTGCTGAACTTTAAGCTGCTGACATTAGAACGTTAGAACATTCTGAGATGAATCTGATCCCTTCAGGTCTATGACCTCCCACATTTTCCTTCCATGGGAGACATCTCGTCCATGGAGGGGGTTGT